CCCCGCGCTGGAACTCGGTGGAAGGGGGGCGTGGAGCGCGTTCCGCTGGAATCCTGGGCTGGAACCCAAAATACATGAGCATGACCTTGAAGCTCAGAAGATGGGCTCCTCTGCTCCAGAGCCCCTCCCCCCACCTCCCCCTGCTCACCCCTGACCACCTCTGACCTCTGCACACCCCTCTCCTTTCCCCCCCCCTTAGTGTTTCTTTTCCAGAATGTCATGAAGTGTGCAGTCGGTCCACCCTGTTTTCTTCACTGTGCACACCTAGGGCTCCTCGTGTGCGTTCTTGGCTGGTGAGTGGATCCCGTGGTTTGGATGCACCCCCACTGAGCCACTCATCCACTGAAGGACACACAGGCTGCTTCGGGGGCTGGGAACTGGTGAACAGGCTGCCGTGTGCACGTGTGTGTGCACGTGTGCAGGATCTCCGCTGGTCGGGGGTTCCCACCTCCTTTGTCTCATTCGGGCATGCATGTTCTGAACTATGGCTGCCCTGATAGGTGTCAGGCACCATTGTTACCTGTGTGCCCTTCCCTGGCATGGCCTCGTTTCTTTCCCAGTGCATGTTTGCTTCTGTGTGTCTCTCCAGGGTGTCTGGTTGAGATTGCTTTGCCTGTTTTAATTAGTGTTTGCTTTTCTGTTGCTGTTGTGTTTTGAATTCACTGCGTAGTTTGGAGAGCAAGTGCTTTGTCAGGTGCTGAGTTCTGAGTTCCCTGGGCAGTCCTTTGTCAGCTGCTTGTTTTGTCTGAGTCTGCTGTGTTTGGAGAGCAGTGCTTTGCAGGTGCTGTGTTCAGAGTCCTCTGTGTGTTTGGAGAGCAGTGCTTTGCAGGTGCTGAGTGCTGAGTCCTCGGTGTGTTTGGAGAGCAGAGCTTTGCAGGTGCTGAGTGCTGAGTCCTCTGTGTGTTTGGAGAGCAGTGCTTTGCAGGTGCTGAGTGCTGAGTCCTCTGTGTGTTTGGAGAACAGAGCTTTGCAGGTGCTGAGTGCTGAGTCCTCTGTGTGTTTGGAGAGCAGAGCTTTGCAGGTGCTGAGTGCTGAGTCCTCTGTGTGTTTGGAGAGCAGAGCTTTGTCAGGTGCT